ACAAAATTGGATCTCAGGAGCGCTTACAACCTGGTGCGCATTCGGGAGGGAGATGAGTGGAAAACAGCCTTCAGTACCACCTCGGGTCACTATGAGTACCTCGTCATGCCATATGGTCTAATGAATGCTCCTTCAGTCTTCCAATCATTTGTAGACAATATTTTCCGGGATTTGCATGGACAGGGGGTAGTGGTGTATATTGATGACATTCTGATATTCTCCGCTACACGTACCGAGCATGTGTCCCTGGTACGTCGGGTGCTGGGTAGACTGTTGGAGCATGATCTGTATGTGAAGGCAGAGAAATGTCTGTTTTTCCAGGAGTCCATCTCCTTCCTGGGACACCGGTTGTCTGCGTCAGGGGTGGAGATGGAGATTGACCGCGTTTCAGCCGTGCGTAATTGGCAGACTCCAACTACAGTAAAGGAGGTGCAGCGGTTTTTTGGGTTTTGCCAATTACTACCGGAGGTTTATCCGGGGTTTTGGACAGGTAGCGGCTCCCATTACCTCCCTGCTAAAGGGGGGCCCGGTGCGTTTGCAGTGGTCGGCTGAGGCGGACAGGGCGTTTAGTCATTTGAAGGACCTGTTCACCTCAGCTCCGGTGCTGGCACATCCGGATCCCTCTTTGGCGTTCCAAGTCGAGGTGGATGCGTCCGAGGCGGGGATCGGTGCTATACTGTCTCAGCGCTCTGGCACGCCTCCAAAACTCCGCCCCTGTGCTTTCTATTCTAAGAAGCTCAGTCCGGCGGAGCGCAATTATGACGTGGGGGACAGGGAGCTGCTAGCTGTGGTCCAGGCCCTGAAGGTGTGGAGACATTGGCTTGAGGGGGCTAACCACCCTTTTCTCATTCTGACTGACCATCGTAACCTGGAGTACATCCGGGCAGCGAAGAGACTGAACCCTCGTCAGGCTAGGTGGGCCATGTTTCTGGCCCGGTTTGTCTTTAAGATCACGTATATCCCCGGGTCACAGAACGTTAAGGCAGACGCCCTGTCCCGACGATATGACACAGAGGAGAGGTCCATTGAGCCCACGCCCACACTACCGGAGTCTTGTCTCGTGGCACCGGTGGTGTGGGAGGTCGACACGGAGATCGAGCGGGCGTTACGTACCGACCCTTCTCCCCCAGAGTGTCCAGAGGGACGGAGGTACGTGCCGCTCGAGGTCCGTGACCGACTGATTTATTGGGCTCACACGTCACCCTCCTCTGGTCATCCTGGAATTGGTCGGACGGTGCACTGTCTTAGCGGGAAGTACTGGTGGCCCACCTTAGCTAAGGACGAGAGAGTTTACGTTTATTCCTGCTCGGTGTGCGCCCAGTGTAAGGCGCCTAGACACCTGCCCAGGGGGAAGTTACAACCTCTCCCCGTTCCACAACGGCCGTGGTCTCAACTGTCGGTGGATTTTGTCACAGACCTTTTCCCCTCCCAGGGGAATACCACGATCTTGGTCGTTGTGGATCGGTTTTCTAAGGCCTGCCGTCTCATCCCTATGCCAGGTCTTCCTACAGCCCTACAAACGGCCGAAGCCCTGTTTACTCACGTTTTCCGGCACTACGGGGTGCCTGAGGATATAGTGTCTGATCGGGGTCCCCAGTTCACCTCTAGAGTGTGGAGGGCGTTTATGGAACGTTTGGGGGTCTCGATCAGCCTTACCTCTGGTTTTCACCCTGAGAGTAATGGGCAGGTGGAGAGAGTAAACCAAGATGTGGGTAGGTTTCTGAGGTCCTACTGCCAGGACCGGCAGGAGGAGTGGTCGGGGTATATTCCCTGGGCAGAGATAGCCCAAAACTCACTCCGCCACTCCTCCACTAATCTCACTCCTTTCCAGTGTGTGTTGGGCTATCAGCCGGTTCTGGCACCCTGGCATCAGAGCCAGATCGAGGCTCCTGCGGTGGATGAATGGTTTCGGCGCTCGGAGGAGACATGGAACGCTGCGCACGTCCATCTGCAGCGCGCCATCAGACGGCAAAAGGCGAGCGCCGATCGCCACCGCAGTGAGGGTCCGGTTTATGCACCGGGAGATCGGGTCTGGCTCTCGACCAGAAACCTGCCCCTTCACCTGCCCTGCCGGAAGCTGGGCCGGCGGTTTGTGGGGCCATTTAAAGTCCTGAGGAGATTGAACGAGGTATGTTATAGGTTACAGCTACCTGTTAATTATCGCATTAACCCCTCGTTCCATGTGTCTCTCCTCAGACCGGTGGTAGCTGGTCCACTCCAGGAGAATGAGGTACGAGAGGCCCCTCCGTCCCCACTAGACATCGAAGGGGCTCCGGCGTACTCAGTCCGTTCCATCGTGGATTCGAGGCGTCGGATGGGGGGTCTGCAGTATCTCGTGGAGTGGGAGGGGTACGGTCCGGAGGAACGGTGCTGGGTCCCTAGGAGGGACATCCTAGATCCCTCCCTGTTGACAGAGTTCCACCGGAGTCACCCAACTCGCCCTGCTCCGCGTCCTCCTGGCCGTCCCCGAGGCCGGGGTCGGCGCACGGCTGGGGCCGCGCGTCAAGGGGGGGGGGGGGGGGGTACTGTCACGGATTCTGCCGAGGCTGCTCCTCCTCCTTGCTCGGGCAGGCTTCGGCGTTCGTCGTCCCCAGAGTACTAGCTACCGCCATTCGATGTTATCGGTGTTTGTTTAGTTTTGTCTGTATTGTTTACACCTGTTCGTCATTATGTTAATTGTTTCCCTTATAATTACCCCTGTCTCTCATCTGTACTTTGTGTGTGATTGTTTTCCCCTTCACGGTTGTCTATTTTGTGAGCGGGTTATTTCCTCCCTGCGTGGAGTTATTTTCTGTGTCCTTTTGGATCCTTTTCGTATTAAAAGTACGTATCCGAGAGTTCTGTGTCCTGCGCCTGACTTCGTTTACCGCATCTCACAGACAGTCGTGACAAGAATAGCCTGACCCAAAACACACCCCTGAATAGCCTGACCCAACACACCCCCCTAGCTAACCTGACCCAAAACGCACCCATAAAAAACCTGACCCAAAATGCACCCCTAAATAACCTGACCCAAAACACACCCCTGAATAGCCTAACCCAAAACACATCCCTGTCCTTGGTGTTTAAAGGTCTGCACATGTAAATGGCCTGGAGATAGTGGAATGTGTTTGGTTAGAGAGAGTTCCAGAACAAAAACTTCTGCGCTATTAAATCTCTCTTCCTCTTTCTTTCTCACTCTCTTTCCCTCCCTTTTCATTTCGCTCTTTCTTTCTGTCCCTTGTTTTTCCTCTCTCCATTGCCCCCATCTCTCCTTCCTTCCTTCCCTCCTGCTTTCTTTTTCTCTCCATCCATGCCCCTCTCCTTTCCAGCTTTCTTTCTCTCTCTAACCCTCCCTCTCTTTCCATCCCTTTCTCCCCTTCCTAATTCCGCTCTCTGATGTGGTTTGTCTCTACAGTCATTCTGAGGGTTGTGTTGATCTCTCTATAAGCTGCACCCCCACTTCATAAAAAACATTAGATAGCATGTGCATTCCCCTGCACTGCACGTGCCCAACACACACACACACACAAAAGTGTTCATGAAGGCAGATACGCAAACACGAACACACATACATACACACAAATATACAAGCTTGCAAGTAGGTAGCTAACTAAACTCATGGTGAAGGAAGTTTCTGATTAACTCCACCAACGGTGTGGAGCAGAGACCAGGCTCTGTGGAATTCAACGCAGACTACATTGATTATCCCAAGGTCAATACTTTAAAAACAAATGCTATTATGAAACGCTTACCTTGTACCTATATTGGTCCTCTGTAGTTGTGTGCCTTTCTTCGATTGCTGAAATCCATACTTTTTCACAAAACGTTTGTCAAATACAGCCACTGACCGTATCCTCATTTTCTGTTGCTCTAAGATGGCTCTAAAATGTACATTACCCTATGTCATCTGAGATTAAATTGGCACATGCGCTGAGTTACCATTTTATAGCAACATAAACTAGGAAACAGTCAGTGGTTGTATTTGACAAAAGTATGGATTTTAGCAAACAAAGAAAGGCATGGAACTACAGAGGACAAACATAGGTATAAGGTAAGTGTTTAACAATTTACATTTTTAGAAGTATTAACCTTGGGCGAATCGATGTAGTCGGAGCTCGTCACTGCTTGACCCCTTGGGGTCAAATAAGCTTGGCTAGCAAGCAGGCAGACACGCAAACACACACACAAACCAATATGCCAGCAGTCAAGTCATCCCAAACATGCTCAGGGAAGCACTAAAGGCGATGCTAAAAATAGCTCTGTGTTCACCTCTGAACTCTCTCTCTTACTCCCCTCCTCCCTCTCTCCTCCCGCTCTCCTCCTTCTGCTTTCTTTTTATAGCAACGCCAGGGGAGAGGGCGGACATTTATAGAAAGACATGCCCTCACTCACTCCTTTGTGCTTGTGCGAATGCGCATGTGTGTGAGTGAGTGAGTGTGTGTGAGAGAAAGAGAGAAAGAGAGAGGAGAACATTTATAGAAGAACAAGAACCCACTCACTGTTCCCTGTCAGTTTGCATCCCAATTGACAAGATGTTTGCTTACATCTCTTTCACACACACACCACATTGAAGCAATCATCATCAACATTAGACTTCGGTTGCCTTAGCATAGCCCATTGATCTGCAGCGCCACCTAATGTTGAAGATAAAAATAACTAAACTGCCTGTTGATGTCTAGCCACTGTGTGTGTGTGTGTGTGTGTGTGTGTGTGTGTGTGTGTGTGTGTGTGTGTGTGTGTGTGTGTGTGTGGCTAGACATCAACAGGCAGTTTAGATACTGATGCTACTATTATTATTATTATATTTATCCTGCTGCCCAGTCACTTTTACCCCTGCCTACCTGTACATACCTACTACCACTGTATCCTTGCACATTGATATGATATTGGCAGTGACCTTGTATATTGCATACATTCTCATCTTTTTTACACCTGTTGTATACTGTACATGCGTAATAAACGTTTGATTAGATTTTGTGTGTGTGTGCGTGCATGTGTACATTCATGTAGAATCTCACCGTGAAGCTGTTGTTGACATTCTTAGTGCTGGACTCAGCCACGCTGGCATCTGATAGGTCCACCTCATCAAATATCAGAGACTGTAGGAGAGGAGGTAGACCAAACAGAACAACAGATTGAGTACTCTGAGTATGATAAAACACACAAAATGCTAATACACAAAACATCTCTTATCTTAACCCTTGACTACTATGAAGGGTGTTCTATGGGAGCCTTATCTTAAATAATGACTTCAGGGCTGGGGTCAATCTTAACTGACCTAGACCAAAAAATAAAAATAAAATTTGAAATTATAATGACTTGAGAGCTGTGCACACCACTACAATGTCTGTGCACATTTCCCTATAGATCACAATGCACAATTTACATAAAGTCTTGAGTTAAAAACACTTAAACATCTGATCTTAAGATTCAATCCCTAATGAATAGAAATAAAACTGACCACAACCCTGAATCTTAGGCTGTGTTTACACAGGCAGCCCAATTCAGATATTTTTTTCAATAATTGGACTTTCGACCAATCAGATCAGCTATTTTGCCAATAATTGGGCAACAGACTGACATCATGCAGTATCATATACTTACTCTGTATGAAGAGCTATAAGCATTATACATGATCATATGTTATATCAGGGGTAGGTAACCTTCCTACTAGGTGTGCAGGGTTTTGCTCCAGCCCTGCTTTAACACCTCTGATTCAGCTAATCAGCTGCTCGTCAGGACCTTAATAAGTTTTATCTGGGGTGTTGGCGCAGGGCTGGATCAAAAGCCTGCACACCCAGTACAGCACTCCAGGAGGAAGGTTGGCCATTCCTGTGTTATATGAACTGCTATAAGCATTATGCATTATTATATGTTCTATATGAGGAGCTATAATGAGCCTTATGTCTATTGTAATAGTAATAAGAAGCAGGCCAAAGAACCATAATAATGATGATCTTGATGAATTCAACGTAGGCCAACTAACTGTAGAGCTGATGGCGTAGATTGAAGAATAGCTGTTATTTATCCCACCTCTGGCACAGACTCAAACACACTGCTACTACTGAGTGACACACACACACAATGAATGAGACCAGATTAAGTCAATGTTGGAACAACCCCATTCAGTCAGTCAGTCAGTAGAGAGCAGACGAGCCAGGACCTGCTAATAGGAACGTGATATCCAAACACACAACCTGCCGGATGATGACATCACTACTGCCTGCCCTGCTGCTGAGCTCTTAAAAGGGCTGGAGGCCAACTACAGTGCAGCTGCCGCTGTTATAGTAGAGGAATGCCCCTAGTGTGTGTGTGTGTGTGTCCTTAAAGGCTGCAGCTGTCAGAGAAATGCCCTGTTTATGACACTCTCCAGGGATGGTTTAAGAGCAGGATGGGGACACTAGCCAGAGTGTGTGTGTGTGTGGGCAGTGGGGTTCTGAGAGATTGTGTGTGGCATGCCAGCATAAACATTGCCCCCTCTTCAAGCACTCTTGGCTGTCATGACATGGCTTCTATCGCGTGTACGTGTGTGAGTCTGTTTGAGGTCTCAGCAATGACAAACACACACACATGTATACACACTCAAGCACACACACACACACACACACCATCCTTATAAACTAACACACAGCAGGATCATTCACTATTGAGCCATGTGACAACTGTAAGTAGACATTCATTACTCAGAGACGGTGTAGACTAAGGCCCTGTTCAAATACTTAGGAACCCTTCTTTCCTCCCCCTTTGATCTAGTCATTAATCTGTATGTGATTGGATAAGTGAAACCCTTCAACCAATCCAATTACTTCGAGGAAAGGAAGAAAGAAGGTTGGATTTTGGACGTATTGGAACAGGGTCTAGGTAAAGGTGAGTATGGATGTTGAATGTTTATCTCGCTCTCTGGCATCGTCGTGAAAGCTGTGTGTAGCAATGGCGTGACATTAGTGCATACTGACTCCTAGTCCCAATTTAACCCCTAGACTTTAGGACTGAATGTCATGGACAGAGATAAGAGGGTAGAGCTGAGAATCAACTCAGGCCAAAACACTGTCCATTAGCTAGCGAGCTAGCTGTTCCATATAGAAAGTTCTAGGCCTATAGAAAGAGATGTTTGTCAAGGGAGTCTCTGTGGTTGCATTGTGATGATGAAACAAAGCACCTGGCTGCACAGTGCCCCCTAGCAGGCCAGCAGACAGAGGGATAGACATGTAGAGGACGGACAGGACAGAGTGGAGGTGGTCTGGACAGTGGAAGTGAGGTAAGTTTCTCCCACAAGACAGGAGCAAAGCTCCTAGCCTGCATCTCAATAACCTCAGGTGGCTTCCTCTCCTGTTCTAATCTCTTGGGTCATGTTCATTAGGCACCAAACAGAAGAAAACGAACAGAACCAGGGAACGGCTACTGCACATTTTTCAAGTTGCGTGCCCTAATGATTACCACCCTGATCTACAACAGTCCTGGTCCTGGATGGGAATCAGATTTTAGTGCTGCATTTGAACAAAAGCCTGCACACCTGACTGCAGCTCCCCAGGACCAGGGTCCTGACCAATCCTAATCTACTGTCCCATTGAGAAAGAGCAGTTCTTAGGAAGAAAATAGGGGAGAGAGAAGAGAGGACAGGAGATAGCAGAGGAGAGGAGGCCACTTTAGACCATTGATACGCATCCATGAGGGAGTAATGTAGAAAGAAGGCTTTCTAAGCATGAACAGACTCCTAAGCAATGCCAGAGCAAACAGGCTTTCTAGGCGATGCCGGAGTGAACACGGCAACATAGCGGATGTAGAGGGGGAGGGGGGTAGCCTGTAGTTCTGGAGCAGGTGGTCAAACTCTGGTCCTCTGTGGGCCACAGTGTCTTGCTTGTTTACCTGAGGTACACCTGTCCAAAAATGTTATGTTGACTCTTTAGCTAATCAGACATATTCATTGACCCAATAGAAGAGACAGGAATAAATGTCAAGACCAGCAGGACTGTAGCCCTCGAGGACTGACGTTACAGCCTTAAAGTCTAGAGCCTAATGCCTTCAAAGTGAGTAAAGAGCCTTAAATTGGAGTCTAGAGGTTTAAATCAGAGTCTACGGGTGGGCTGAGCGAGGATGGAATGGTACTAAGGTGGTCCGGTCGTGGCGCTGCAGCTGACCCGTATTGACATCAGACCTTCTTCGGATCCGCTAGACGGTGGAGTGCGGCGAGGCCCTGCCCAGCACACGGACAGAACCCTCCAACATACACGACTCCTGGAAACGCTGCGCAGTGCCCGCTCCTGCCACCGGGCCAGGACACTGCCAGTCTGAGAGGTCAGGGGTTGGGGTTAGAGGTTAGGGGTTAAATGGAATGCCAGACTGCCACAGCATAGGGAAGTGCAGGAGAGGGTGGTTAGAAAGACTGGAAGCTAGGATTAGAGGTAACGGGTTAAGTTGTGGTCCTCTGTAGCTCAATTGGTAGAGCATGGCGCTTGTAACGCCAGGGTAGTGGGTTCGATCCCTGGGACCACCCATACGTTAAAAAAAATGTATGCACACATGACTGTAAGTTGCTTTGGATAAAAGCGTCTGCTAAATGGCATAATATATTATATATTATATTATATATTATATTAAGTTGCAGGACTCCTGCCAACGAGCCAAGGGGGAGGGTTTGGGTCTGGGGTTATGGAGGTAATGGGGTTAGGGGTTATGCGGTTCTGGGTCAGAGAGTTAGGGAAAACAATTATGAGGGTTAGTTCTGGGGGTAAGAAAGTTAGATGTTATGTGGGTTAGGGGTAAAGGTTTGGCAGGCTGCCAGCAGCAGGAGAGGGAAGTCAGGGTTAAGGGTAGAGGGGTAAGACGTTTTTGGGATAGGGGTTCTGAGTATATAGTTAGGGGTAAGGGCAGTCTTCAACCCTGGTCCTGGAGAGCTACAGGATGTGTTGCTGTCTCTTGTTCCAACCCTGCATTAACACACCTGGTTCAACTAGCAAAGGCTGTGACATAGAGCTCGCCAGCTTGTAGTCCTAAAACACGGAAATTAGTTACCTCTGGTTTGTTCAGCCATCCATATGGGGAAAATGAATGGGGAAAGTATAGGGTTTTGGGATAAACACAGAAAATCAGGTCTGAGGTTAACACAGGCTCTGGAGATTTTATACGTTTTGTTCTATGAGATAATATCAGTCATTTAACATGACCTTTATGAATTATGAAGCCTTTATCTGCTTTATGTGCTTTTTTTGATTACATAAATGCTTCAAAATTCACAAAAAGTGACCTTGGCTGATGAAGATTATCTCATAGACATTTTTTATAAGATTACATTTGACATTTTAGTCATTTAGCAGACGCTCTTATCCAGAGCGACTTACAGTTAGTTAGGTGAGTGCATAAATTTTTCAAGATCTCTTAAGTCTGTGTTTATTTTCGGTGTTTATCCAAAAACCCTACAAAAACTCCATTAACTTTTCCATAGGCTTTGTTCAACAAACCATGGCAGAGTTAGTGCATACAGAGAGACGTGATTACTTTTGCTCTCTATATAGGGTGGCTATCTGTCATGTGCTTTTGCTGGGCCTCTAAACTAGGCTAATATGGGAGTCAGTGAGAGACAGTTAATAGTTTTTCTGACTGTGTGTGTGTGTGTGTGTGTGTGTCCTACCTTAGCATCTTTGGCATAGTAAAGTGTGCGTCCTCTCAGTTTGAAATAGCGTTTTTTCCACCTCTGGAATGAACTTGTCTGTTTCAGCAACAGTCCCTCTTTCACACTGGTCTAGAGAGCGAGAGCGAGAGCGAGAGAGAGAGCGAGAGAGAGAGAGAGAGAGAGAGAGAGAGAGAGAGAGAGAGAGAGAGAGAGAGAGAGAGAGAGATGAGAGAGAGAGGAGAGAGAGAGAGAGGAGAGGAGGAGAGAGAGAGAGAGAGAGAGAGAGAGAGAGAGAGAGGGGGGAGAAGAACATTGTTAAATGTATCTTCAATTCACCATGAATTGTCTGAACAGAGAACTAAACTAACCCCAACCCCTGTTTTAATACAGGAATTAATACAATTGACAAATATCACATAACCGAAAACACTGACACACACACCTGTGGAGCCTAGCACATGTTATATCCTCCAGGTAAGGGCATGTATGAGCTCTGTGTTAATCCCAGTGACTGGCAGAGTTATTCCTTCTCCCCCCATGGAGCATGCACACACAAACACACACACACACTCAGTGTCCAAGCCTCACTGGGCACTGACCACACCTCTGTGTTTATCTACAGGAAACTCTGCTGAGATAAAAGTGTGTGTGTGTGTGTGTGTGTGTGTGTGTGTGTGTGTGTGTGTGTGTGTGTATGTGTGTGTGTGTGTGTGTGTCAATTTCATGCATGGGAGAGGAAAGACAGGCTAAACAACAGAGAAGAAAGGAAGGCCATTACAGATCCATTGCTTCTCTGACCCACTATAAACACACATCACTCACATTCAGGCCCGACAGAGAGAGCGAGGGAGGGAGGGGAGAGAGAGATGGAGGGAGGGAGGGAGGAGAGAAAGAGAGAGGGAGGGAGGAGAGAAAGAGAGAGGGAGGGAGGGGAGAAAGAGCACGAGAGAGAGAGGAGCATTTCATTCACTAGTTCTAACCCTCTGTTGAACTCAGTGGTTTGAACATGTTTTAACCCCTTTAACTAAATAAGCATCTGTCTTCTACTCTGAAGTTTGACGTTTCTTTAAGAGACCGTCATAATGTGGAAAAGAAGAGTGTTTGAGCACGTTTCCCCATTATAAGCTTTTTCATGGGACTTTTACAGGCAAACCAGACAGAGAGAGAGAGGTGTATGTACTAAGTGCATCCTGCAGGTTATCCTGTCTCTGGGACTCCTTTGGTGGAGCCCCTGTGACACCTTAGATCAGCTTTTTACTTCCGACAGTAAACATGGGTCCCTATAAAATCAGAGTTGCAGAAAACACGGACAGAATCACGGAATCCAGACATTAAAACGGCATTCAACAATATTTAAAAAACGTATTGAACTTAGTAGGAAATTTAAAACGTGTGATATTGAAAGTGAAAACCTGAAAAAAACGGGGAAAAACAGAAACCTGGAAAAACAAAACGGAATTTGGGAAAAAACGAAATGGGGCCTAAACACACACACACACACACACACTCACACACAGAAACGCTGGGTGAAGAACAGCACTCTGGGGGCACACAGGGGAGAGGGGCACACACACACACACACACACACAGGGAGGGCTATTTTTAGCAGAGGAAGTGTGCTCTCTGAGGGGAGAATTACAAACAGAGATGGAGGTTCGGAGATGACATCCTGCCTGTCCACCAGCTGTGTCAACCTAAACACAGCACTCCATCCGCCAAACTGTCTCGCTAAGGACATACAGGCTGGCTACGGCTAACTCACTGGCTCACTAACGACATACAGCCTGGCTACGGCTAACTCACTGTCTCACTAACTAACACAGCCTGGCTGTAGCTAACTTACTGTCTCGCTAATGATGCACAGCCGACAGCTAACTACACATACCCTCGCTATCACTAACTGCACATTTTGTAGAGGAAACTATTTTGAGCAAATTACTTGAAAATTACTGATTTCCAGTGAAGGGGAATACATAAAGAAACTCTGCGAACATTGGTGATGTGACCAGAGTTGAGCAAGGTTCTGATCCTAGATCTGTGGTTAAGGGCAGCTTCTACTTCTAGCCCATGCAGAGAGGCCCCAAGCCAAACACTGGCCACTCGGCTTGACTGTTTACATGCTTCAAATATGAATTCCCTCACTTTATGTAGCAGAGTTTAAAGCCTAAATACCTCAACTGGATTAAGGTGAAATACCGCATTACGGACTACCTTATAAGGCAATCGCTGCTCGCCTGTGACGACTATCAAAGAACCAGCGCGTAAGGATTGAAATACCGAGGGACAGACATAGCGTATGAAGTCATAGCCTTGTTATAGAACCACTAGGGGAGGTAGTAAGGTCTGCACTAGAAACATCATTTGACAATGTGACAGGGGTAGGTAGGTAGGCAACTAAAAAAGGGGTTTGGTCACTTCTGATAAATGTGCTAAACACACACAATGGTCCTGACACTACATGAAGGAGCGTTTCTCCTCTCATAATGCACTCAAGTCACTCATCTAAAGGTCAGAGCAGGTCTACACAGATGAGCTCACTGTCCAATGAGCAGGCTGCATGGCTAATCCAATCAGAGCTCTCAGAACACAGGGTTGACTGAAAGACATCATGAGAGCCACATGACCGAGAGAGAGGATAGCAGCAGGAGGGTAAAACTACCAGAACCACAGTACGATGACTAAACGTTTAGAGTGCAAAGCTACAAACACCACTGTTTACACATTATACTTTGTTTAAAGTACTATACTTACTTTACTAGAAATATTGGACAAGGCTGAAACAAGCTTGCAGACCAGCTTGTAGGTTTCTTCTACTAGGAAAAGAGGCCAGAGTGGAGATGGTGACAGAGAGCAAGACTGCTGCAAAAGTCCCTCATAACAAAGTCAGAAGTATAACTTTTTTGCCAGTCAAGAGAAAAAGTAGCTTTGCTCCAGTTTGCTGTTCTATTTTCTAGTTTGTCCCTCCTTGGCCCCCATAGTTCCTCTCCTTGTCTCCATCTCCTTCCTGTGGCCAACTGGGCCAGAAGCAATCTATTATTAGCCTGTTCCTCTGCTACACACACATACACACACGTTTCCCTGTTACTGGGGAGGGCAGGGCTGCCAGACAGAACTGAACTAACCTTACCACCAAGTAATGTACACGCACACACACCTCTCCCTAGCCTGAATATTGAAACACACACAATGGACAAAGGCTGAGCTCGAATGAGTCCAGCAGCTGTGCTGTGGGGATAAGAGCGGAGCAGGCAGGAGTTCCCTGAAAGAGTAAATGAAGAGAACAGGCCTGCATCCTGTCCCTGAGGATATCATATCCAGCCTCTAGTCTGGCTGCTACACTGATACAGTTAGGACACAAACCAGCTCCTAACACCAGCCATATCCCCCTAGCCACAAGCCTGCTACAGGGGCACAAACCAGCACCTATAGCTCCTAATGCCATGCCTCTTTTTAGAGGATAACCATATCCCTGAGCCCTCTGCCCAATACAGTACCACACACATCAGTCTTAGCCTGTGTCTCTACTGTAAAAGGACTCAGCCTCAGGGTGAAAATTGAGCTTAACAGCCATTGATGAATATCTGATAAGCACCGGACATATATCTCTGCTGCTTCTAACCTAACAGAATCCAGAGCCACAGGGCATCCTTCCTGATTCTGTCCAATCATTGCAGAGCCACATATGTCTCTGCTTCTACCCTATCAGAGCTCATAGCCACAGGGTTTATTTCGTCTGCCTGCCATGCACACACTCCTGGCTAGCAGAGGAGAGGATAGGCCAAAGACCTTCTGACCAGCACAGCCACTCACCTTTAAATCAGGGATAAGGAGCCTGGAGAGGGGTCTGGACAGAGATAACATGCGTGCACACACAAACACACACACATACACATACACACACCGTCCAAAAGGCTACAAGGAAACACACTGTCTGATTCTAATGGGCCTCAGAAGTCAATTTATGGCCATGCTAAAAAGGACAGTTTCATATGGTAGTGCTAGGTCTAGGAAGGGAGCTGTTAGGGATTCTAGTACAATAGTCCAGTTCAATGGACAGGTAGTGACATAGAATGATGAATGATTTTTTTCAGTTTCAGAAAACCAGTCACTGAGCTTTGTAGCTCGGATCCAAATACACAGTAGGCTACACTTCAATTCCTCCATTCATAAAAAGCCAAAAGGTTGTTTTTGAGCCGACCGGAGTCTGTGTAACGAGACAGTTTTACTGAAGGCCTGAGCTATGTCTTCATGGTGACACATGTTTCTGCTTTAGGCCTGTCAAAGCCAGATGTAGGGAAAGGGGAACACATTCAACCAAAATGTGCCTAATGCATTTAACCCAACCCCTCTGGATCAGAGATGTGGAGGGGGCTGCCTTAAACGACATCATCAGCGCCCAGTTGTTGTTGGGGGTTAACTGCCTTGCTCAAGGGCAGAACAGCAGATTTTTCCACCTTGCCGGCTCAGGGATTCAAACCAGCAACCTTTCAGCTACTGGCCCAATGCTCTTAACCGCTAGGCTCCCTGCCAATTACAGTAGCCTCCTCTTAGAATAATGTAGCAAATTCACACAACATAACTGGTTCGGCACATCTTCACGTCCAACTCTGTAAACCCCGGTTCAGATACAACAGCCGACATAAGACGATACAAGACAAAACTAACACGTTTTAGAATTGTGTGTTGAAGAACAACTGACTGAAGACCGGGCATTCAGATCAATAAGACGAGATGCACAGTTGAGACCGTTTCCACGGTAACGGTGCTTCTTTCAATGACGTGATGAAACTTTGAAACAAAGTTGTCCCTTGTAGCAAGTTATTGCAGCAAACCAGAAACACGATACACTTTCTGACTTGTCAGAGAAATATCAGCAAGCTAGGCTAGCTGCTTGTCTGAACACAGAATGTCAGCGCACTGTTCTCTGATTGGTTAAAGTGTCACGCTACTCCCACTCCCCCGCTCCGGCACTCGACGGAGGTTCCTGAGAAGTCACTGCCAGGACTGGCAGGGGGAGTGGGCCCGATTCCTTCCCTGGATTCCTCAATCGGGCCCACTCCCCCTGCCAGTCCTGGCAGTGACTTCTCAGGAACCTCCGTCGAGTGCCAGAGTGGGCCCGATTCCTTCCC